AATCTCACTTCTCGTTGTTTTTGAAAAAACTTCCTTTTAAGGAAATTTTTCAACAAAAATGTGGTCAACGGGAAAGAGTTTTTTTTTTTTTCAGGCAATCATTATAATATTAACTAAATAATTCTTATATCACAATATCTTTTTTGAAGATTACAATCTTAATGTTTACTAAATTGGCATATGAATTGATTTTTTATAAGAAATAGTATTTTTAACAGATTATAATATCAGATATCATATTAATTCTATTTAATTACCTTTACTTGAGGTTAAACTGATATCTTGTGATTTGGATTTGGAAGTACTAACCACTATGTTATAGATTCACAGGTCCTTGCATATATTTTTATATTTTTAAATGTTCTATTATTTAATAAATAAAATAATTTCAACCTAATTTGCAAATTTAAAAATAAAAATAAAAATAATTTGTTATAAGAGAATAATTCAATATTAATTAATATTTATGTTATATTATACTTTCTAAATACAGATTAATAAATATATTCTTAACAATTTAATTAAAAATAAAAATAATAAATAAAATAATAAATATATTAATATATAGACTAATTAAAAGTAATATATATATATACTGTATATACAGTATATTAAACTGTTAAAATTATTTTAAAATTTTGTTGTTGTTTTTAATATTTGGTTATAAAATTATATAAAATATAAAATATATAGTATATTGATAAATATACTGTAAGTGAAATTATAATTTAAAGAAGAAGAATAAATTAATATTATCATTATTCAAGAAAATACTGTATATTATATACCGTAAACCATGTTAATTAAAATTAAAAGATCTCGTTTATTTTATTACTGTATTTTAATTACAGTTATATCAGACATTGTTTGTCATAAAAAATGAGAAATCACATGGCTTCGTGAGTTTAAACTGATTGTTTAATAATGTATCAAATGCACAAAAACCATGCGAATAGCTTATAAATTTGTCACGCTGTGACCTAAAACTGTCCAATTTTCTTTGTCAATAGTCAAGCATGTGTCTGCAAGACTTTCAATTTCAATATCTTCGTTTTACTTGCAACTTATGTAAATTATCCTCGAACGATTCATGAATTTCACATCGTAATGGCAATGCTTGTTAATAACATGGTAATTATTTTGGGGATTTTTTTCGGACCCTGAAATTACAACAGCGACAATTATGGTTCCAATGCGACCAACCATGATTGGTAACCGCTCAAGTGCGTAACACAGGACGCATGCAACTCTGAGGTTAAGATTGTTGGACACTTTAGTTGTCCAGGGAGAGGGCGTTTCCCATTTCAGAACACGTATGTTTTTTACGCTAGTTGAAAAAAAATTTTTGATAGATCTCGCGTTTGATTAACAGAATGTAGTCACGTGCCAACAATTTCAAATCTATATAAACAGACACTTCATTTTTTTCGACTAAGGTGGATATGTTTATCTCTCCCCTTCTAAGGAAAAAACCGTTGGGCGCTAACTATTCTTTTTTCTTATATAAAGGTAATTATTCCGTTTGAGCGGCCTCCCAATATAGAGAACGATCATTTCGGTGGAACTTTAGGCGAAACTTTATCATACTTGAAGAATTATTCTGTAGTGTTGTAAGAATGTACACCGCACAGGTTCCAAGAAATAACCTAGACGTCCACCTCGAGTGGATGCGTGGACTCGGAACGAAACGACGCGAATATTTTCCTACGGCTAATGAAGCAAGACCTATCGCGCCCATTAAAAGTACCAGCGATAAATGGCAGAGTATAAAATCACGTGATCAAGATTCTTTTAATGCAGTACAGCCTTCGAATTCATTGTCAACGGTCACTAATCTGGATAGTAGCCTCAATAACGAAACGAATATGTGCTTAGATGATGATTTGTTTTGCAACGGGAAGGAACCGAAAAGAAACATGGAGCGATTTAGATCTCGTGATTCGGGTGTATCCTTGGGCTGTGACATTACACCAAATTCAACTGTTCACGAAAGATTTACCAATAATTCGGCAACAGAGCCACCTGTGGGTTCTTGTATAGATACGGCAATAGATTTGGATGACAATAGTAATCTAATGTGTGAAGATGATTTGCTTTGTGACTATGAACTATTTAGCGAAGAGGAATTGAGAATGCTATTGGATGAAGAAAATTCGAAGAGAGAGGCAGAACTTCAAAAAAATATATATTCACAGAATGGAAGGCAAGTTCCCCAAACAGAAAAACTTTCGACATTAGATTTAGGTTCAGACTTCACGAAATTGGAGAACATCAACCTTTTGGTTGATTTTTGGCAAGAGAATAATCAAGATCTTGAAAAAATGTCATATAATGAGTTGAACGAATGTCGAAATTTGGCCAATTCCATCAGATATAAAGCAGCAGACGAGTTAGCAGAATTGTGGAGTAGCGGTAAAGGTGATGATCACCGGTTTAAGTTGTTAACTGAAAAGCGGGACAGTTGCAAAGCTCGGATTGAAGCAATCGAGTCCAGATTAAAAGCCTTCGGTAGCACAAACTTTATGGGACAAGGTTCAAATGGAGATCACTTTACTGCAGCATACTCATCTACTCATGAAACTTCACTCGAAACACGGTCTTCGTATTTCAACAATTTCCAAGTGACCAATACTTGTCGCGCGGACACATCCTCCAGTTTCAATTGCTCAAATAACACAATGCCTGAACCCGTTGCATCAGTACCGACACCAGAAATAATGGATCATGTGGACCCCGATATTTTTAATGTTTTGCGTCGTGATTTTAAATTAGAAAACTTTCGATACAAACAATTAGAAGCTATCACTGCAACACTAAACGGTGAGGATGTTTTTATGCTAATGCCAACTGGAGGAGGTAAAAGTTTGTGTTATCAATTGCCGGCGGTGTTGGATAACATGAGGCACAATAAAGTCTC